TTTTTTATTTTCATTTATTTATATCAATTCCTCAAGAATAAAAAGAGATAACAACGAGTCGGTGTTAAACGATGACGAAGAACATAATTTCGTTGCAATAAAATGTGGACTGAAATCAATTCGTTGACCTGCGTTTGTGACGCAAATATTATATGAGTGGTATTCAAATGACGGAAGTTGCCCCATCAATTTTGATTTTATTCAATAAAGCACTCGATAATAAAGATCGTCAGTTCTTTTTACGACGAGATTCTCGAAACTTCTTCATCGAATTTCAAAAGCATTCACAACAATAATGGCCGATATCCCATACCACCAGAGTTTCGGTTTATGGCCGAAAAATTCAGCGATGAACAGTTTTACTGGCCATGCCGTGAAAAATTGAGGAATAGTTTCTTTCTTTAAGACTTGGTGTGAAGATCGACTTTTGAGCAGACAATATATTTAGATTTCGTCATCTGGATATTTCAACTCATCTGGATAACGTTAGGCGATGATACGAAATGAAAACAATAGAAGTGATTGTTGTAATGTATAGGTATAAAAATACTACCATAACTATAACAATCACGTTATCCAGATGAGCTGAAATATCCAGATGACGAAATCTAAATATATTGTCTGCTTTTGAGGCATTCTGAAGGCAAAATTGTGTAGGAAGTCCCTGGAAAAATCCATAGGGGATTCCTTCACGATGTCAAAACGTGTGTAGGAAATGTGGATGAAGACCTTTTTTTTGCTCTTCACTTTTTTGACGAAAATTCCTAGCAAATCGAAAGAATTTTCTTGGCGGAAAAAGTGAAGTGCAAAAAAAGGTCTTCATTTCAAAATTATATAGTATGGAAAAAAAAGTCAAAACCCCCTTCATATCCTAAGGAATAAATCGATTTGATTAAAACAACTTCAATCTTCACTTTGGATAAATCGATTTGATTAAAACAATGATTGAGAAGAAATAATAAATTGCTTTAATTTGTATATATTTTGTGCATGCGAAGGCTGAAACCAAACAAATACCATACCAAGTTTGGTGTGATTGGAAAACCTACAAGATGCTATTTTTATTTCAACATAATTTAGACTTAGCATTGAGTTAGTATCTTGAACAAAAACCAAAAAAGTATTTGCGTCATTTCATTATATCAATTGCCACTTTCTCATACAGAAAATTAATTCTACATTTTCCAAATCTAATCGAATCTTATCTTATTCATGTTTAATAGCACTTGTATGAAATATCAAGAGTAAACAGACATTTACTTCGCAGTTATTGGGATTTTTTCATATTAATTACAATAAATGAGATGATTTAGAAGTATAAAGTGATAAACAAATCGATTTCTTTTTTCCAAATGCCTTTGCTGAATGTACAAATTGCAAAAAAATCGACAACAATTGCTTCTTATTTTAACGTACTCAATATATGCATATATGCAAAGTTAAGTAAGCATATTGTTAGATATAACTGGATCAATCAACAGCTTCAAGAAACTCGGAAATTTATTGTTCATTTCAATGAATTAATCGTGATTACACAGATATTTTGGAAAACGTGAATGTAAGAAGGCAGATTAACGAGTTGATGCAGCAATGATCGAATCAATCCGGTTCAGTAATCAGTACCACGTCACTTGTAGTTCCAAACGTTCAACAAAATTCAAAATATTAGACGCGAAAATTTAATCTGTATGCGTCGCTGAGAAAAATGAAATCAATAAAGGTTCTTTATCATAATTAATAGACTCAACGGAATAAAATAAAAATAGTTGTACATGATTTCATTTCCATCCAAATCTGGTGAATACTATGAACTGTCCGTTATAATTAAGATGTTAAAAATAATGCCTTTACTACTCGTAGGCTATCTGACCTCTTGATTTCTATAGTGTAAAATATGTCATTTTTCTGCAGAAAACCGGTAATCAAGAATACTTGCTTTTGGTCTAGATATTCGGAGTGGAATGAAAAACAAAAAAGCTTTTCTTTGATAGGGTTTTTTTTTTGAAAGAAATTCTTCCGATTTGGTAGTGTTATTAGACTTTTTTTATTTTTAGAGGACCAAATTACTCCTTAACATTTTTGAAAATTTTTCGAATTACAACATCAACACCTCCAGAACCTATGGCATTGCACTATAGTCAGCTTAAAATGCATGTATGTAAACTCAATGAGTTTAACTCATATACAATTCTCCGCTTAATGCAGCATCTTCGTCTTTCAATAAATTAACAATATATCGAAACCTGTTATTTAACCAGATCTCTTCGGTCGGGCTTGTGCTTGAGCTCCACTTTTGGGTTATACAAACAAGAAAAATAACGTATCATGTGGCATCAGCCCACATTGAAAAAAAGTTTTTTTAATCCGGAAGATTTGACGTCATGTCGATCTATACTGAGGGAACTGAACATAAATTACAAGGCTTGATCGGGGAAGTCCAAAATATTATTGGCAATTTATTACAATTTACCATTTTATGAAGAATTCATATGACGGCACTCACATGAATATCTACTATTCGACGTAGTTACACCTAGCGTTGCACATTCTTGTTTTTATGCGCTACTTAAACGTAACCGATAATTTTTCTTAAACTAGAACACTGACGTCACTCTCTTCCTTAATCAATAGCGACAAAATTATAAACCACATGCTAAATATTTCATGTAAAAGCATGACGGTTATGGTCAGTTTCCTGTACTTTATAGAGTTATTTAGTTTGTTTATATTCACCTTCTTGTTGAACAACCTCAACTCTACGAAAGATTTTGGCGAACTAGCAAAATATAGCCCATACTTATACTTATCATATTTTTCACAAGCCTTCAGACAACAATTAAAACAATGTCACATGTTCAATGTGTATATAAATTTTTAATTCGGATAAAATTTTATTATGATATTATAAACAAATGGTATAGGCCCGCAAGATCCTCTAATACAAATAGCAACGAAATAGCTTAACGACGATCCGTTTTGCCTGTACCTCGTTTTCCCGAGAATAAATGCTTGGGCATTTTTGTACCAATGAATCGATCGGCTTCACCTTTGAGACACATTCGTGTTACCTTTCTGGCAATGTCTCTCTTTGCCATAGTATTCAATTTACGTTTCATCTATAGAATTAATATTTGAAGAAAATTCGATCAGAATTAAATCGAATGGAAAAAACAAAGAAAAAACTTACAATAACATCCTTAACGCCAAGTTCATGACGTGCAGCGGCCCGCTTAAGTGGTTGACCTGTAGATCGAACAACTGCTGATGATTCTTTATCCAATTTCGGTGTCTTTTTATTTGACAATGGTACGAGTGTTCGTTTTGTATCAATGATCTTCTTTGTGAAGTTGGCATTTTCTGTTCCCGACATGTCAACACCGAGCTTCTCCATTGTGTTTTTAAGTTGGTCAACATTTCGATCTTTAATTTTCGGCATTTTATGTCTTGGAATTGCTGAACTGTTTTTATTGCTCGATAAACGTCGTTCATCACGCAGCGTAAATCGTTTGGTACGAATTTGTTTGGCCATTTCACGAATTTCTTTCATTGTTTGATCCAATGTCATATCTGGTGGATTATATAAACCATTTTCTTCGCGCAAACCTTCTTCACGTTCCAATTCTTCAAGTTTTTCAAATATGTCCAAATCGATATAATCCGCAATATTTTTGCCTTCGAAAAATTCGGGAATAGCATCAAAGCGTTCATCTTCTGGAATTGTTGTGTAGTTCTTTTTCAAATCGAGAGTATAATCATCGCCCAATTCCATTTCCAAATCTTTTTCGAATTTGCGTTTTGATTTTTCGTCGATTGTTTTGTGTTTTTTCTTCAAAACGCTGTCTGGTATGCATGGTGGCCGTTCAATATTATCTCTTTTTTGCGGTTCGGCTACGTGTAGTCTATTCAAAATACCCTCAACCTTCTTTGTTCGACTTTTTTGAGCAACACGATAGCTAAGCAAACGTTCGCATGCTTCAACTTTAACTTCGTTCACACCCAATTCGGTCATTGTTGACATTTGCATGATTGGTATATTTTCATCACTTTCGATTCGTGCTAGTGCAGCTTTACGATCGGCCGATAAATCATTCAAATCCATTACATCAATTTTATTGATTACAGTAATCAATGGTTTGTTGGTGAACAATGGTTTGATTGATTCGAACAATTTCACTTGTTCGTCAAGTGTATGACCACATTGTTCGGAAATATCCATTACATAAAGAACACATGCACGTAAATGTGCCAATGCAGTAATAGCCTGCATTTCAATAGTATTACGCTCTTCCAATGGATGATCCAAAATTCCAGGTGTATCAATCACTTGCCAACGCAAATATTTGTAATCAGTGTGTCCAACAACTAAACTTTTTGTTGTGAAAGCATACGGCTGTACTTCAACTTCGGCTCTGGTGATTTTATTGAGGAAACTTGATTTTCCAACATTTGGAAAACCACAAACAATAATCGTACGTGTATATGGATCAATTGATGGTAAACGAGCTAAATGCTGTCGCACTTGCTCCAAATATGCCAAATTGGGAGCTTGACGCTTCATTATCGTTGCCATACGACCCAATGCTGCCTTTTTCAATTGTTTACAACGATACAATGAATCACCATATTTTAATAAACGAACATAGTCCTTGGCAACACTACGATAATAAATTATAATAATTAGTTCATTTCAATTTATAGACAAAATCAATTTTATTAAACTTACGTATCAATCAAGTGTCGAGCGGTGTTAAGTTGACCCAGCGCCAATTTATAATGATCTTTATCGTACAAAACATTCATCAAATCCGCATAAAATGGATGTACATCATCCAATTTTGGAAAATCTTGAATGATTTGGGTGAGACGATCATGAAAATTTTGCTGTGTAAACTTCACTTTTCGCATGTAAAACGACCGAATTCGTGATATCTTGTATCCTTTGTGAACAACAGTTGGTGTTTTTCGTTGTGTTTTCGATAATATAATATCGATGAAGTCCTTGAAAATAAAATAAAAATTTCATTCTGGTTAAAAATATGCTTGTTTTCAATACATTTTTACACTTCATTTTAAGGCATGTGTTTTTTATTCCATGGACTTATAGGTTAAGTTTTTCCATTCGAAATCAAAACTTTTGTCATTTATTAAATAATTTAAGAAAAAAACAAACCTTTGCCGGCGGAACCACCATCAACTTTTTAAAATTGTATAAACTCATTTTGGATTATTTACTATTCACTTGAAACTAAAAAAAATCCAAAAAATATAAGACAGTGTGGCGACCAAAAGAACAACACACACGAGGTCTTATTTTTGAAAGGATGAAGCAAATAGATGTCAGTACTCAGTACGATACATTGGGTTTTTGACATATTCAGAAACACATGGTAAATCAAATCGAAGGAAGATGGCCGAAGACATGAACAATAACGACATCTGTATTTAAAATTGAACAAGTGGGCATGTCTCTTTTTATTTCTTTGAAAGGTTTTCTTTCAAGATGACTGTTATTCAGTTTATTTATATGAACAAATAAATCAATTCAACAATGTTGCAAAACAATCCTATTTTATGATTTTGATTAAAATCGAATGAGAGAAATATTAAATATGGCGAAAATAAATTCACTTCACATCCTTTTTTTTCGTTTAGTGTTTATTTTAACCAAAAAACTATTTACAAAAGGTCTTATTATTTAACTAATACATAATTAGAATTTCGTTTAGTGAGGCTGTTTGAAGTCTCTTATCTAAATGCTGTTGTAGAATTAGTCTCGTCAATAATATAATTAAATTGAATTGTTTTGTTGGGAAAATATGAAAAAAAAAAAACAATTTTGCTATACACACTTCACATTCGTCTTTTAAAAAATGATTTAAGTATGTTTTTTTTTAAACCACTGGTCCAGTTAAGTCAACTGAATGTTTAATTGAAGAACGTATTATCCTTCTTCGCTATTATCTCCATCCTTTAAATCTTGAACTTCAGAATATGTCTTGGTTCATGAAAAATTAAATATTTGAGTTCTTGACTTTTGTTATTTTATTTATTATTTTCATTAATTGAACGCGACCTTCACTGCTACTGGCTTCAGTGAATGTCCATTTAAAAAGACAATCGTTATACATACGGTAAATTTAATTTTGTACTTTAGAATTTGAAAAAAACAACAACATAGTTTTAATTCTGTTATGAAAGTGCAACTCATAATATAGAAAATTAAAATCTACAAATACTACAGATATTTTAAAGAGAAATCGATGTGTTTTTAATGTTATGAATTCTTCATTTTGGCATCAACAGACGATCAAGATTATATGTATAAAGCGAATAAATGACCATCTCTCCGCGTGTGTTTTTTGTGCTCGAAGTTGAAATGCGAAGGCGTACATTGTTCATTGGAAATTTTGTAACAGCAGCCGACATTGAACTTAACACGCCTAATAAAATTTTATTTATTTTTACTATCTATACAATAAATCTATAGGTTGATTCGGGAAATGGCTTGAACAAACTCGAAATGAATATTTTGCAACAATTTTTTGATTTGTGAATTTAAAGTGTGAATAAAGTTAGTTATTCAATTAAAACTTGTATAAAAGTGTCCAAAATTATGATTGGATTTCAAATTCGATTTAGTTGTAATGACCATAAATATTCTTTTACACTGTTTTCTTCTTATTTACAAGTTGAATGAAAAAGGTGTCAAAATAAAGTTGAAACAAGAAAAGAAATTGAAATCGATCAGTTCAATTTCAATAAAACGTTAAATGGCGTAAAACTCTCATTAAATTAAGCATTTGAGTATTTTAAACTGTAAGGTAGCCTGTACCAATATATATTGGATGCCTTGGAACAATGTAATAATTAAATTTACGGTGTTTTTGAAAAAAAAAAAAAAAATAGAATGTGTCGAAAAAGCCTTGCACTTGGTTGGTTAACGTATTGTTTAAACGGTTATTTTATACAATAGCTACAAAAACCTAATGAAATAGAAAATTGCACGCACAGAATTCACAAAAACAGCAGAGAAAGATAAAAAAAACAACAACTTTATGGGGTTATTTTCTCGATCAAAAAATGTGTATCGTCGTCACACAATTTTTTTTTTCTCGTCAGAACTCTGTATCGTCGTCGTCACACGTTCACCTTTTTCTAACGTTGCCCAAATCCATATCGTTAATAAATCCATTGTCACGGTTAAATACCGTTTTGCACTTCGTGAGTTGTGTGAGCAGTTATGTTCACATTATTCTTTTATCTTTCTGGATTGTTTCTCCCTTTTGTTGGTTTACTGTTGTTGTTTTTGTTATTGCTGTTGTTGTTATGCACGCGTTTCGTTGAATGCTACACGTTATGATGCTCGAAAATCGGGAAGTGTGTAAAAATAAAAGAGCAAGAGGTCGAGCGAATTTCACACACCAACGACGTTAACGAAAGAAAAATAAAAGATAAAAACGAATCTTTCAACTTATGAATGGAAAATAGCAAATAAACATCTGTCAACATAGTTGGTGAAAGAGAAAAACAAACGATCCGCGAAACCACTCGAAGCTGACTTCCGAAGAATATTGAGGTTCTATGAACTTAGCTGATATATTTTTCATTTCATCGATCATGTAGTTTTTTTTTTGTTTAGCGCTCATTTTTCATTCAGCAACGTTTTTCTTCTTTAATTCAGAATGGTAATTCCAATTCCAAAGCCATCGATTGCCGTTTTTCCAATGCGTTTCCATTTATTACAATAATAATTGAATTGAAACAATATTGTATTTTAGATCAACAAAAGCATTCTTAAGCAACTCACTCGAATCGAACAAGATGTTGAAATTACAAAGAAAATGAATTTTCAATTGCATTTTCGTTCTTGTTGAAACGTTGACCGATGTTCTATCCCAGTTTTATTCTCATTCTTGAAAATCTCGATTTTTACCATGAACAACAAGTGGCATCAATACCTTTGTTGTAGATCTATAAAAAATTGCATCTCGACATTTGGTATACCATTGAGGTGTTTTCCGCAAAAAAAATGTTCTTTTTAGTATTTCGATTTTGATTAAATAACATAAAAAATCGACAAACTTTCGCTCCCATATAGACAGCAATATTTGGGTTTTTATTCGATTTAACTTTCTTTTAGAATTTTATTTTAGTTGAACATCATCAAAATCAAATCAATGTAGTTGCTTTTTCTCTTCACTTTCCTCGATTCGTTGTGAGTATAAGAAAAAATAGAAAGGCACAGACAATAGCATTCCCCATGCATTCTCCTACCTTTCGTTTGTTCTCACACATTATGATCTAAATGCATTTGATGATCTAAATGCAACACATCGTTTGCAAAGCAAGCAAATGATATTTTAAGTACAGAAGCGAAAACCGTAACAATTTACGAAATGTACGAAATAAACGTGATCGGTAATATAACGGAATGCTGTAATGAAAGTTTAAACATTTCATGAAGAAAAACCGATGCATCACCTCAAGTATTTCAAAAAAAAAGTTTAGATTAATATGGTACAATCATTTTTATTATTATTATATATTAATATATGTATTCATTTTTCAGACAATTCGAATTATTTGACCAATGAATGGGTGTGTAACGTGCTTTAATCTAAATCGTTATTGCGGCAGAAAATGACTGACATCGGTTCACTCCAAATTGAGAAGGTTCCTCTAAATTAACAGAACAGTTGTGATGAGAAAAAAAAATCCATTTTCCACGCTTTATATAGAGAATTTGACTGCTTCTGTTGAACCACAACGAATGCACTTACGTGCATTGTACATTGTTCACATTACTTAATTGATCGCTTATAATATCAAAATGGACGTTTTCTCAAAACCAATTTTGTATCTCTACTGGATTTAATGGACCATTTTTATTATTAAAAGTCTAGTTTGGAAATGTTATTAGCTAATATAATTTTGAGGAGCGCATATTATGGTGGGAAACTCATTATAAGAATTTGAATAATTGGAGACATTTTAATCACTTTAGTCCATCCAATATATTTGATAGTGGCCAAAGTTAAATTGATCGAATGTGATTTAACAATTGTCGGATGCACTTTAAGCAACTTTCCAATGAAGTTATCAATTGACCGTTTCAATCGTCACATAATTCTTTAAGCAGCTTTACAATGTTTTTTGAAATCATTGTCCATTTTACAATTAAATATAAAGAAATTCCAGAGTTTCCAAAATAAGTTATCAATCAAATCTATATGTATATGCAAATCTGTGTGTACGAATATATTTCACAAGCACCAACCATGATCTACATATTACATACTATTACTTAATCGCTTCCATCGACGATAGAATCGCTCAGGTCAGACAATTGTTGCAACAAGTGTGCCGTACGCGTTTCAGTCGCTTGTTTTGCCAGTACTTTGCGCTAAGCAATTTACGCACCAACATTTTCTTCATCTTCTTCACCATCATTTCTTAAACGTTTTCCGTTTTCGATGCTTTTTCATTTCCCCCGTACCGTATGCGCGAAACCGACACTCAACCTATGTGTTAGCTTTTTTTTTCAGCAGACACTCGCGATCGCAGAACATATATCCAGCGTGTGGCTGCTACCTAGCATTATGTCTTATTGTTACCATTGTCGTCATCGTCAAATCAACAAATCCACATACCGACAGCTCAACCGACACCTAAAGCATAGCTTCACAGTCGCGTATACCACTAATCGAGAGTGTGACTTTTCGTTCAACTGACTATTACATTCAGTTCAACTGTGCTCATCAGCGCAATCGCACGAATTCTTTACGTTTTTCATTAAAAATCGACTTTTCAAGTAGTTTCGTTTCCGTTACAAATTACGATTATACACCGTGTATGTGAGAAATTTATCGGAAAAAAAAAATTGTTCATTTTTGAAGTTGGGAAAATTTACATTTTCCTCAAAATTCATCTATTAACGGTTACATCGATTATACATTTCCATTCGACAGCAAATTCGGTTTAGATATTTCTAACATAGGATTTCCTCAATGTAAAAATGTGAGTGATTAAATATTTTATTTGAGTTTTTTGTTTAAATTTTGGCAGGATCAAATAAAGCGTTTGACTCCTTTAATTGTTCGCATACTATAAAATATTTTGTGCAAAATTCATTCGATTTGTAAGCATAGTCATATCAGATTCTTATAGATTCGACGGATGTACATTTTTAAAATTATTCGCTTTTTTTTATAAATATTTGTTAAATGGCAAAACATGCATTGTCATTGAAAAACCATTTTGAAATTGAGTGCCGGTATGCGCAATATTATAATTGTATTCTTTTATTAAAAATATTCGTTCAGAGATGCACAAATGACATATTAAATATGACTGGTAGATTCATGTTAAATTTACTCGAGGATGATATAATAAAATCACGAAAATAACTTAAATTACTAACATTCTATGAGAATTGAAGCCGGCGCTAAAGAGCTGCATTAAGAATATAATAATATAAAGAAAGAAAGCAAACAAGCAATCGTGATCACAATTGAGACAAGTGCGATCTTTCAAGCGCACGCATGTCGGTGAATCACGAAATAAAATAGCGGAAATGCATAGATTGCGGAAAAAGTTGTCGTTTATGGAATCAGATTATCAACTAGAGTAAAAATTACGGGATAACATAAATGTAAAGCAATATTTTGTGCATTGTGCACACTATAATGTATAAAATATGCAAATTTTATTAGATGTGTATGATATTTTCTTTTGTTTTAAGAATCGCTCTCGAATAGTAAAGTATGAAAAATACTAAACAATGCTGAAATAAAAAAAAAACTAATGACGACCAGAGTATATTGAAAGAAATTTTAGCAGAAATATATTTTTCTTCCTCTTTAGTTTTTTATTCTTTATTTTCATATCAAGAACTTTTCACTTTTAACAATAACCGTTTTATGAATGATTTGTTGGGATAAATTCATACATGTTTTGGTGTAACTTATTCTGCAAATGAAATATGTGCGTATGGATTGCGTGGCATAATGCAAGCGAAAACTATTTTAACAGAGTAAATGATGACTCTATGACAAATATCCGATATTAACTAGAATCAATAACTGAAATGATCAATGAAAAAAAAAAAAACAACATATTAAAAATAATTTGCATAACTGTTGAGTTTGCTTTCTGATTTATTCATTTAATGTAAAACGGTGCGATGGTGCAGATAATATTCAAAATCGCAAACAAACATATGTGACTCAAATTTACAATAATGATTCTGTGTGCGTTATAATTTTCATTCATTTGTTCTATAACTGCACTTTTTTCACACAAGTACACATAATGTGCACAGCCATTTTAATCACCGAAAACAACAAGTAGCAATTTCTTTTTTTTGTTGCCGGAAGAGAAACAATTCAACAATGTTGATGTTTACGCAAATAGTGAAACAGAAACTGAAAACTGTATTCTTTTTATATTGTACATTTCAGAACCCAGTGCAACGATTTACCGGTAACACGTTAGTATTTCATCGTGCAGAAACAGAACGGCATCAATGCTGACAAATTACTTATATAATTAAAAAAACGTAAAGAACATTCGGTGTGAAATTTATATTTCAAGCAAAAGTAACTCTGGTTAGAGGTGTTCGTTCATCGTAATTCAATTCGAATAATTTGATAATTGTATTAAAATTGATTTTTCGTAACGTGAATGCGCGTATATACATTATGTTTTTATCTAAGAACATTTCTAAGTGTATACATAACATTATACAAGCTGAAGAAAGCAAAAGAAAGTAACTGAATAAGCAAAAAAAAAAAAAAAAAATACAACAAAAGTAACCAGTAATTTTCGATATTCACTGATTGACGTTTGAATTGTTCTTGAAAATTTTGCTTTTGTGTGTGATTTTTGAACGAATGTTGCGGCTACAAAGGAGTTGAAAACCAACAAACGTTTGACCAATAGACAAAGGAAATAGACAACTATTTATTTATAAATATTTGCGGAATACATCAACTCAACCAAAAGAAGAAAATCAACTTTGTCATAGTCAGATTATAAACATTTTCAAAAATGTGAGTACATTTTTTTCATATTTTCATTTTCTTATAATGAGATAGAAGAGAAAAATGAATGATTCTGTATCAGCCGATGACCAAATGTTTATTTAATACTCTCCATATCATAACTGAGCACGCTCTGTGTAAATTGTCATTTAAGCCGTATAGAATTTTTTTAAACGAGTAGCCATCGACATCCTTAATTCATACAAATGAATTTTATCAATTTATATTCAAGTTAAAAGAAACAAAATATCTGTTCGTTTTTGTTTTAAATTCAACCAATTTTCGATGGATTATCTTTAAATATAATGAGTACATGTTCTCAGATACGAACTAGCAAATCGAATATTGCCCAGTTGAACTGCCCAGTTGAACTTCATGCAAATCGAACAGTTCACACTTGATATTTCAAATGCGAATCAAATTGATTCGAATTCATTCGCATTTTTGATAATTAGTTTTTACATTGCTAAAGTTGAGAGAAGAAATTGAATGACAAAATCGTCCGACAGCAAAAAGAATTTATCAATGTATTTAATTTCTATGCGAAATCGCTGAATCATTGAAATTGGTGATACTCAACAGTGTGAGGCAATACGATGTCGCTTCTTATTTTGAAATGGAAAATTGCCAAACAAAAGAGAAGTACATCATCAGCGAACTGAGAGAGAGAGAGATGCGTCGCTATTGTTTTAATTGTAAATTTGAAAATAAAAGAAACTATCAAATCGTAATGATTGTATCGATCGTTCATTTGATCGGCTGCTGTTTCCCATTGTGGCAAATATTTAAATGTTGTCTGACAAAATCTGAGACGGTTAACAAATTAGCGTTTACAAATCAAACATTAGCTTTATTGCCATAGGTTTTTTTGTTCGCTGTTCTGGAATATTTGTTCTTTTTTTTAATTTATTTATTTTTACTCCACGATTCGTATCGAAAGTGAATGTACTCAAAAGTGATTTTGACGTCATTTATCGGAAGCGTTTTTATTCTAAGAAAATCAATTTGATTCGATTGATGCGAATAGATCGAGCAAAAATTGAAGAAATGACAAAAATCACCATGCAAACACAAATCCGAATTCAATGATCTTTTCAATGTGTAATTAAAAAAAACGTAATAAACAATTTATCAAGATAAAATTAGTCTAACTTGGTGTAGCTACATGCAATTTGTATTTAGCATTGATAATTCTGAAAATTGATAAACGACAAAACAAAGAACCATATAGTCATGGTACAAATAAAAATTATTCATAATCATTAATTTCAACACATTATTGTAGACATAGATTAAGTTTATCATGGGTAGAATAGATTTAAACAGAATAAAAAAAAACACATGAAATTTTTAATATTCACACACAAATCAAATGATGAGCTTGCATAAGATCGTCCAAGCAAAAAAAAAAAACAAGCATGACGAAAATATGAAAGAAGAGAATTGTTTAAACTGACGTTATTAAATTGTAAAAAGCACGGCAAAATTGATGCACTTTGTATGCTCTTTTTATATACGGGTTTTATTTCATTTTCCGTTTTTTGCGCCATATACTCAAAGGTACATTCGCGAGTAACGAATGTCAAGAGAGCAAGAAAGTTGAGACACACGTAGGCTCATGAAATATTGATGATCAACCAACACAATTTGAATTTGAAGATCAAATTCTAATCTGTAGCACGTTTGCTTTAGCTCCTTATCAAATTAAATGTACTGAAAAATACGGTGGCTGTATCTTCTCACGCTTACAAAACACATATGAATCACGATACTTATTTATAAGAATTTGCTAAGGCTTTCAACGAAATGAAAAATTGTAATTGTAAAACGGCCGAACCGAAGAAGAAGCGAATACAACAGAGAAATAAAAACATTGTTCTAAATGGTGGCGGACATGTTGGTGTAATAAATCAAATGGATGGCTTTATTTTTCACATTTTCTTTCTAATTCAAACAATTCACACTCAAATGCGATTGATTTGAAATTGATGAAAATATTAGGAATTCAACATAAACCTCCCCATAAATAAAAAAAAGTTTTTACAACAACAACAGAATGACTATATTTCGAAAATTTAAATTGGGCCCTTCTACGACGGTCCAATCCGTCATAAACAACAATTTCGGATGGCTCTGTACACTGAAGCGCCATAAATGCATTCCCTTTGATCCCGTAATGAACTCATAAAATATACAAATTAAACTGTTTGTACAGCTAATAAATTCTATTAGATTACTATCGTCAGATTCTTGACTTGAGAAAGCATAAAACCGCAAATGCAACTACATAAGCCACAATATAAGAGCAACAAACATCTACTATTCTATTGACTGAATTCATTAATGAATAAAATGAAACGCATATATTGAGAGACGTCTTCTGTCAGCGGTTTGATATTTTGATTTCTTTTCTTTTTATCATAAGAATTTAAAATTTTGAACTTGTCTTAATTAGCTAGAATGAAATTACTTGCACACACTGTTATTTAGCGAGGCAATAAAATAAGCATACAAGCATTGTCATGCAAACGTACGCTTCAACAATAAATCAAGTACGCATCTGAGTCTTTGTATGTGATGCGGTTAAGAAAATCCGAAGAGATGAAAAACAAAAAAAATGAACCCAAAATAAATTGTATAATGCCATAAAACTGTAAAATTTAAAACGTATAAACGTCGTAGTACATATAACATATTGAAAAATAAGGAGCATATATGAGAAAACTTTAAAGAACTTAAGAAACAATATTAAGCTTGAGTCTCTGGTATATATTGGGAGAGAAAATGCGGAAAAGAGAGAGAAAAAAAAAACTAGAAGTAAATTGAACAAATGATTTAATATACGTAACTTATATGTTCTAATGAAGTTCAAAACAGGAGAACCGATGAAGTCGCAATAGCTCTAAACAGAAGAGAGATAGAAACGGGAAAAAAACCTAAATGATTAAAAACATATTAATAGGCCATCAGACTTGATATAACGGTAATGTTAAACTTTTGTTTATGTAACATTGAAATTGTGAAGCCGTGATCAAATGATCAGTTTTATGCTTGAGAGATAAAACCGAATGAAACTATAGAATCGGTTATTCGTTTAAAATTACCAAAACCACCAAAAAGTTCTCAAATACAATAAATCCAATGAATACAACCAAAACGAATAACTTTATGTCTATTCCAACTTTATGTCTATTGAAGATGATAATTGGATGTACAAATTGTCAATTGTTTGAATTTTCAAAGGAAAAATTACCCATCTTGCAAGTATGTTAGTAATCGGCTATGTAAATGGGCCAGTGCATATTCGTATAATGTTTTGTGTTGATGTCAAATGTTCAACGTCAATGCGATTAAAATGTAAACCAAAATATACGCCAAATCTATTGATTGCATTATCGGAAATTGACATGTAACATTTTTTTTCTCAAACAAGTATAATTAAAACAATTTCATTATTGAATGTTGTTTTATGTTCTTATTTCTTATCTTATGTTCTATTCCCGTTGGAAGAATTTCATAGCTTTCATTGAACACACACACAATTGAATATTCAAAGGGGTTATTTGACATAAGGGGAAAAAATTGTTCTTTTCACCGAAAATTCGATGTTCCTCTGATGATTTATTCTCACGGATTCAAGGTCTGAAAGTAAATAAAACAAACTTTAAAATTTACACAAAAAAATGAAATTATGTCATTCGGTAAATTTTCTTTTATTTTAATTAGTTGATTTTTCCGTCTGCGACATGTGAAAAACTCAGTTACACTGAAAAATAACAGAAAAAGAGAGAAATAAAATTGTATGAATTCAAATATTACGCATGACAAAAAATTATTCTGTTTTTTTTTTTTTTCATTTTCAGAGCAAATGTTGATTAGTTGACTATCTAAATATCACATAAAGCAACCTATTTTCCCAATAGGAAACAAGAATGAAATGACACAATAACGGTTGATACTTTTAAATATCGCACACGCCGTCACCATAACGATCAAAAATCTCTTTTCAATTGCTCTTCAAAGAGCATAAATAGTTCAACTAAATATTGAAATAAATGGTTCGCCATTCTTTCTAATATATGTCACAATATTTTCATGTTTTATATACGAACTCTTTTCGATACGAAAGACAAATGAGAAAAACGTTGAGTTAAATGTGTACAACAAATATAAATGTCATACTATAAAATATAATGAGATCAATTTATTAAATTTTCGATATAAAGTTTCTGATTTTCCGGGGAAAAAGTCAAGCATTAATACATGAAGCGGTCATGGGGAAGATATTGACAACAGTGACTTCTTCACACTAACAAAAGTTTATGTAATTAATTGAGATTGAATCGATTTTCACCGAAACGAATCGTATCAAATAGAACATTCTGACATGCATATCATCTAAATATCAGTGTATCACAACTGTGTAACTGAATGTCTGCGATTAAGATCTCAAATTGTACATGAATTAAATCGGCATATTTAAAACTTTGGAACTTTGCGTGCGTAGAGAATTGTGTATTTTTTTTACTTCAAAATTCAACTAAGTTTACAGTTTGATAGTCCACACATCAATCCAAACTCTTGGACATTCATGCTTTGATGGATGAATACCTTACTTGAGTTTGATGATCGGCCGGTCTTGAAAAATGTCGTATTGGTTTCGATGGCTTTGTTTGAATCTAAAATCTCTTCCATCTCTTCCAGTTATGCTCCATACATCACATTATGTACAATTGTACATTCTTTCATACAGAACACATAAAATAAAATTGAAATATCGGCGTTTTAACGTACTGCTGGTTATGCAGTTGTGGTTCCGATTTGTTTTTTTCTTCTTCTACTTGTTGTTTATTTAGAACAACTGTGCACGATGTGTATCTTCTGAATGGATTGTTTTGCTTCAGCACAGCATGTTTGCTCTCATGACATGGTTGGTATATGTAAAATAATTTTCAATTTGAGGCTCAAACACCTTGATTATTATGTTGTCAATTTTTTTGTATACTATG